GGTGGTTTAGCCTAGCGGACGTGGTCTCCTGCCGGTGACACGAAGGTTGGTGGATGGAATCCACCAACCTTCGTCGGCAAAGTGATGAATGGAATGTTGTGGCCTCAAGTAAGGCATTCGAGTTTAACTGCTCCCGGGTCATGGCTGAGGCGTGTTCTCGGTCAAACGGACCTTGTAATATTTAGATGAATGCTCCACTAGAACACACTGGTCGGTTTGCTTGTCTGTGGACATTGCAAGAGCATTAGGAGAAATACTTTGGAAAACCATTGAGATAATTCATTGTTTCCTGTGCGGGTGTGTGTGTTTACCCAAACGTATTGCTCTAGCAGTAGCACGACCAGTAACCCCATCCATCCTTGTTAGGCCACACACACACACTCACACACACACACACACACACACACACACACACAAGTTACCTAAACCTCTTCACCTGATAAACCTTTCAGTCACATCACGGCACCTTTTCAAACGGGTGTGTAGCAGAGCTGTTTGTGCCGTGGCACAGCGGGAACCTTATCCCAATCCTAGCCGCTAAAGCTATCGCTAACGGTATCGCTAACGGTATCGCTAACGGTATCGCTAACGCTAGCTCCACAAATCAGGATGCATCACGGACGTCGATGCAAACTCCGCTGACTCAGCTAATCGATTAAAACCCCCGCCGGTCTGAGGACGCCGGACTAGCTAGCTCTGAGAAACGTAGGGGGTTCAGCTGGACTTTTGGTTCCTGACTGTGATCGGTTCAGGCCCTGGGTACAGACCCCCTCGCTCACAGAGGGGTCTCTAAGACGGCGCCATTGATCTAGCGGGTAATTAGCCTAGCGAGCGGAGCGGTTCGGCGGCTGCGCGGCACTTGAACGTGTTGCCCGGTGTGAATAATTTAAGGCACAGCATGGAGTCGTCCTTTGAAGTACATTCTTTGATGCCCCCTTTCCCATCCCCTCATCCCTCTTTTCATCTCATCCCACTTCGTCTCTTCTCTCATCCAAGCCTTCATCCGAACTAACTTCAACAAGACCCGGTACCGTTTCCTAACTCCGTTTCACGTGGAGAGCTCGTGCTAGTAATATTAGACTAGCTGGAAAGGAGCGGGCGAGACGACGGGGAGAGTGAAAGGGATGAGAGAGTGATATTCAGAAATGCGGCTGTGGTTTAGCGGGGCGGGGCCACGAGGAAGTGAAGGTAATGGCATGACGTTCTGGCCGTGGCCGTGGTCGAGGCGTATTTGCGAGCTCCGAGGAAGACAGCGGTTTAGGGAGTTGTTGTTATTTCTGTATGACCTGATTGACCCGTGCATCCAACCTCACTTCCCACACAACCACTCTGTTTCTCTCACTTTCCCTCCATCCTCCCTGTCTGTCTCCCTCTCTCTCTCTCGCTGAGCCATTAAAGGGAATACTACAGCCATTAAAGTCATATTACAGAAGAAAAGTATGTTATATTAAGCGGTAAGCGTCACAAACATGGAAGGCTTTTATCGGTAGCTTTCTGAAAAACATATCAGACAGTCATTTCACACAGAGTACCGGTAGTTATAGTTCACTACTAAAGAAAGATTTCATACGCATCAATGAGTTTGTTCAAAAGTAGCAGATCCGTCCAGTAAATTTATTTAAGCAAACATTTTTTTTTATTAAACATTGTTCATTTTCTTTGATACATATACAGATATTCTTTTGTTTGAGAATAAATACACTACGGAACATTCTACCAGCAATGTGGTTTTTACCCAGTAGGTGAAAAAGAGAGTAAATATCTTATTACCACTCGCAAGCTAATATTGTGGTGGTGGCCAATGATTGGCTAACAACACAGTGAAGGAACCTTTATTTTGTTGTCTCCAATTGGTCACTGTCTTGTTAGCCAATCAATGGCCATCAAGACAGCGAAGAAATCTTTACGCCCTTGAAATGCACAGGTCTATGTGTTTGGAACTTATTATGGGATGTCCTTGGATGAAATCGGAGGTCACTTTGGACATGTCTTGTCCCATTAGATGTTTCAAACACAATGGGACAGATTTTTACACACCTTTAGGTGAAATTTATGTCTTCCATCGGTTATTGTTTTATTACCCAGATTGGCCAAATTACTTTTTAAGGTCAATCCCCCTAAAAGTGAATTTCCGAATCTACTGTACTGCAGCTTTGTAAGGTTTACTTTCCTGTTATTAGTTTGTTTGTCCATCCATTTCTATGTGATCTCTCTCTGACCTCGTTATTGGACTCCATACGGTCCATCCATTTCTATGTGATCTCCCTCTGACCTCGTTATTTGACTCTATATGGTCCATCCATTTCTATGTGATCTCTCTCTGACCTCGTTATTGGACTCCATATGGTCCATCCATTTCTATGTGATCTCCCTCTGACCTCGTTATTTGACTCCATATGGTCCATCCATTTCTATGTGATCTCTCTCTGACCTCGTTATTTGACTCCATATGGTCCATCCATTTCTATGTGTTCTCCATCTGACCTCGTTATTTGACTCCATATGGTCCATCCATTTCTATGTGATCTCCCTCTGACCTCGTTATTTGACTCTATATGGTCCATCCATTTCTATGTGATCTCCCTCTGACCTCGTTATTTGACTCCATATGGTCCATCCATTTCAATGTGATCTCTCTCTGACCTCGTTATTTGACTCTATATGGTCCATCCACTTCTATGTGATCTCTCTCTGACCTCGTTATTTGACTCCATATGGTCCATCCATTTCTATGTGATCTCTCTCTGACCTCGTTATTTGACTCCATATGGTCCATCCATTTCAATGTGATCTCTCTCTGACCTTGTTATTTGACTCCATATGGTCCATCCATTTCAATGTGATCTCTCTCTGACCTTGTTATTTGACTCCATATGTACCATCCATTTCTATGTGATCTCTCTCTGACCTCGTTATTTGACTCCATATGGTCCATCCATTTCTATGTGTTCTCCATCTGACCTCGTTATTTGACTCCATATGGTCCATCCACGCCACATCTAGTCTGTCTTAACGTCTTATAACAGCGCAGTTTGCCGTTTCATGGACTCCCTACCCTCCGCCAATGTCCTTGATTCAACCAACCGTGAAGTAAAGTTCAAAGTGCTCCCTCTCTACTCTCCACTCCCCATCTTTGCACCCTGTAGCCTCGTGCACACACACAAACACACACTCACCTCCCTTCAATACAGATGAAATACACCCCTTGAGTGGATGGACAGTTCTATTCTGTTTGAACCGCTGTTCAGGTTTCGTCAGCAATGCCATGTTATAGTGAAAGGGTCAACTCACACCAACGAGTTGTTTTGATGGTTGCCCGTTTGTTTGAGACTTTTCAGTCAGAGGCTACTAGCCTGAATTTACTGCCTCAAGTATTAGTCTTAGTCGATATTAGCCAGATGTTCAGTTCCACACAAGCTAACTGAAAACCCTAACCCTTATTTAAGTCCTCAGCCCCGGGAAAAAACTGCTGTTTGGATGCAACTGAAAACAAAACCCAACTGTGGCCTATCTGACTCTCAGCCAATCAGGGGTCTTTGTTTCCATTATGTGATTATGTGATTATGTGAGAATGTGATTGTGAGAATGTGATTATGTGAGAATGTGAGAATGTGAGAATGTGATTATGTGAGAATGTGATTATGTGAGAATGTGATTATGTGAGAATGTGATTATGTGAGAATGTGAGAATGTGAGAATGTGATTATGTGAGAATGTGATTATGTGAGAATGTGATTATGTGAGAATGTGATTATGTGAGAATGTGATTATGTGAGAATGTGATTATGTGAGAATGTGATTATGTGAGAATGTGATTATGTGAGAATGTGATTATGTGAGAATGTGATTATGTGAGAATGTGATTATGTGAGAATGTGATTATGTGAGAATGTGAGACTGTGATTATGTGAGAATGTGATTATGTGAGAATGTGATTATGTGAGAATGTGATTATGTGAGAATGTGAGAATGTGAGAATGTGATTATGTGAGAATGTGAGACTGTGATTATGTGAGAATGTGAGAATGTGAGAATGTGATTATGTGAGAATGTGATTATGTGAGAATGTGATTATGTGAGAATGTGATTATGTGAGAATGTGATTATGTGAGAATGTGATTATGTGAGAATGTGATTATGTGAGAATGTGATTATGTGAGAATGTGATTATGTGAGAATGTGATTATGTGAGAATGTGATTATGTGAGAATGTGATTATGTGAGAATGTGATTATGTGAGAATGTGATTATGTGAGAATGTGATTATGTGAGAATGTGATTATGTGAGAATGTGATTATGTGAGAATGTGATTATGTGAGAATGTGATTATGTGAGAATGTGAGAATGTGATTATGTGAGAATGTGATTATGTGAGAATGTGATTATGTGAGAATGTGATTATGTGAGAATGTGAATGTGAGACTGTGATTATGTGAGAATGTGAGAATGTGAGAATGTGATTATGTGAGAATGTGATTATGTGAGAATGTGATTATGTGAGAATGTGAGAATGTGATTATGTGAGAATGTGATTATGTGAGAATGTGATTATGTGAGAATGTGAGAATGTGAGAATGTGAGAATGTGAGAATGTGATTATGTGAGAATGTGAGTATGTGAGAATGTGATTATGTGAGAATGTGATTATGTGAGAATGTGAGTATGTGAGAATGTGATTATGTGAGAATGTGAGACTGTGATTATGTGAGAATGTGATTATGTGAGAATGTGATTATGTGAGAATGTGATTTGTGAGAATGTGATTATGTGAGAATGTGAGAATGTGATTATGTGAGAATGTGATTATGTGAGAATGTGATTTGTGAGAATGTGATTATGTGAGAATGTGAGACTGTGATTATGTGAGAATGTGATTATGTGAGAATGTGAGAATGTGAGAATGTGATTATGTGAGAATGTGATTATGTGAGAATGTGATTATGTGAGAATGTGATTATGTGAGAATGTGATTATGTGAGAATGTGATTATGTGAGAATGTGATTATGTGAGAATGTGAGAATGTGATTATGTGAGAATGTGATTATGTGAGAATGTGAGACTGTGATTATGT